TCATGGGGTGACACATTTATGAAGAGCCAAGGAGGTTATTTTCTGTTTAGAATGGGAAAGTTTAGTTAGTGATGATTAGTGGGCCAAGAGCTACAAACACAATCCTTTTCTTCCCCAATCCAGGAAGACGTAATGAGAAATTTAGGTACACAAAAAATAAAATGTTTTTCCATTTAAGCAAGATGACTCTTGAATTTTTTATAAAAATGTAAACATCAGGGTCAGATATCACTTCTTGGGGACTCCCGTCATACACACAACTCAAAGGCCTTCTGACAGCAAGCACAGAACTCCAGAACAAGTGAAAGGTAACAAGGAAGAACAGGTAAAGTCACATCTTAACCAGTTTTCTTCAGCTATGAGTTTATTTTTTGCCAGCTCAGAATAGTCTTCTTGTGGATCCTATTGTACATGCTGCTAAAAGGAAGTGAGAAACTAAAGACATTGGAATTCAATATAGGTCCTTAGGAGTTCTAGGGATGAATCTGGGTCCCTAGCGTCTGCCTGGAGCTGACAAATTAAATTAACCAGCTTCCTGGAAGCAACAGGTGACTGACTCCATTAAGCTAGTTGACATTTTATTGTCATCTTCGACTGATGAGTTATTCATGGAATTCCTCTTCTCTTTGAGATTCCACTCACTTAAACCCTTATTATGCATCATGTATGCAGCCCACATGAAGATAACATGGCTTGATTCTCCTTAATGGAGGAGGAAAATGCCTGCTGAAATTGATTATATTGGTGGCCTGACTCTAAGTGAGAGTTGAGCTTGGGGTATTGATCTCAGTTTGCAAAGTGTTTCTTTAATCACTTGATGAGCTATTCTTTGATATATTTAAGCTGACTTTCTGCTTCTACAGTAAGCATTAGAACCAAATCCCAAGTTCATTTCTAAGATGATTAGGGCAAGAGACAGTGGTGGTCCGTGGTCTAAAGGCTACAGACCCAATTCTTAAAAAGAACATGACGCTCTGAAGCTCTTGTCAGGAAAAGTGAAAGAGATAAAGAGAAAGAGCAAACACTGCCAGGCAAACAGCCCTCCATCCACAACAGAGGAGACATGTCTTTCCAAAACACTCAGGAGGCATCTTGCCGACAGAGCAGTCAATAGCAAACAGCCAATCTATCAACAAAGGATGAGGGCGGCTTCAGGAAGACGGAGATGCTCAGTAAAGGAGTTATCCAGGAAGCCCAGGTTCACTGCAGGTCTGCGCTGTCTGTGTCCAGGGATGTGATATGGGCCTCGTCCCTGCAAATCACCAGGCAAGCAGCCCCAGAAAACCACATGGCTCTTGCGCTCACAACCTTTTTTTGTAAGTCATACCCAACCAACTGAGAAACAACACACTAACCCAGCTGCTGGTGGGATTCATGAGTTCATGTCACCGATAAAACCTGAATTTCCAAGTCCCTAAACATGCTTTATTTGGGCTCTCAGTACCGGGGCATTTGCTCTTCAAAACTCTCACGGCTCAGAGAATGTTCTCCATCTTCAAAGTTGTTGGTGGTGATGTGTGTGTGGTGGGGGTGTGTGTATTGATCTATTAGGGGCAGTAAGACAACAATTATTAGGAATAGCTTGAGCTCCAGAGTAAGAAAATATGAGATTGACTCCTGACTCTGTCACAATTAGCTGTGTGACCTTGAACTCTGTATTTCCTTTGGAAACATCAAGAGCTTCATTTGTAAAATGAAAGTAATATTAATGCCTACTTCATGATTATTGTGAGAATTTGAGAAGTAGCAAGAGGGTGCCTCTAGAGCCACGGCACATAGTAAGCACTCAGTGCATCGTGGTTATTGTCCTCTTTGTCCACGCAGCTTTCTCATAATCTAACATACACAGAATCTCTTTCCCAGGTCCTCTAAGCTCCAGTTCTCTGATAATTGCAAATTCATACCCATGGGAAATAGAGGATATCCTTTATTACTAAAACTTACAAAAACTTAAATATAAGGAGGACTCTATATAAATATACTGAGCTAGACACTGTGTCAAGTGCTTTAAAGAGGGACTCAAAATTTATGTTGAAGAAACAGGAAATGGAGTAGGATAGACAGTTTGAGACACAAAGAGCTCTTTTTACTTTATTCAAGTAATTCCTGAAATCCGATCTTTTCTAGAGAGTCTTTCCGAAATAAGAAGATGGGAGGATGATGTTGGAAATCTTCCACAAGCCACAATCAAGTATCTAGGCTGAGGCAATCTAATGAGTGAGCGGAAGGTTAGCTTTCAGAGAAAATGTAGGAATATTTATGATAAATTGTGACAACTTTATCATATCCCTCTCCCTAATGCCTGATCTTCCTTGCTAATGACATGCAAAATTTTCCTCTTTGAAGGCACCACTAAGGAATTACAAGGTCTTTCTGAAACTTGTCTTTATAGCCCTGCTGGAAACTAAGTAGGCAGAATGGAGAATCAACCTACAGACCACTGAGTGGAGAACAGAGCATTCACACCCTTCCCCTTGATCCCCAAAGCAATATATAGGAATATTATGCCTATGAAAACAGACATCCATATACACACACAAATATATCATGCCCCTGCTCTTGGCAGGCACCCAACTAGCCCCAGCTGCAGCCTTAAGCAAAAATCTCTTCGCAGCCACTTGCGGTGGCCATGAAATATGATCAGACAGGAGTCATATTCCTCATACCTGGTCAACTTTGAAACCAAAGTCCTGGAGAAGCCAATGAACTTATCCCCAGCTGCCTATTCCAAGAGCCAGTGATTACAAAGCAGTCAGGTTTTCTCTGTTGGTATAGAATTGTAGGCTGGTGTCAACCCAGGTTAAAGTGGGGACTTCTGAGAATACGTGTTTCATGGCAAAGAAATAAGGAACTTTAACCACATGCAGCCCTGCTTAGATTAGTAGAGATATTCTGATTCTGCAAATGAAGACAAGGAAGCACATGCCAAGCCCTGAGACTCCTGAAATGATTAAGGGAAAATAAATAATTCAGCCCCTGAGGACAGTATGAATTTCCACAAAACGTAAGTCCATTTGTTTACTCCCCCTTCGCACTAAAGCACTGCAGCATTTCAATTCTATTCAACCTGTGTCAGTCATGAATGTACACCTAAGGATGGTGTTTGTGAGTGGTGTCAGGGTGGGAAGGGAGGAGCAGGGAGGACTCAGGAGAAGCAAAAGACATAGCCCCTGACTTCTAGAGACTATAAGCTACTCAGTCTCTCTCGCGCGCTCTCTCTCTCTCTCTCTCTCTCTCTCACACACACACACACACACACACACACACACACGATACCATCAAATAATAGTACAAGGGAAAATGTGATAAGGTTTTCAAAAAGTAGGTCAGGCAGTGAAATTTAAAGAGAGATTAATCAGAATGGATTAGAGAAATCACCATGGTTGATGGGAGTCTTGAAGTAGGGGTAGTGTTCATTTATTCATTCATTCATTCATTCATTCACCAAATGGCCACACACTGTGCAGCAATATGTGCCAGGCACTAGAAACATGATGAGCAAAACAAGACACAGTGCCTGTTTTCATGGAACTCATCAGCTAAGAGATGACCAAAGTCTCATAAAATTTCCTTCTAGTACAAATGTGGCGCTCCCCGCATCCTTGTTTTCAGTCTTTAAAAGTTCCATCTAGCCAGTCATCTACTGGCATTACTCCTGATAATCATCCTAAGGGCTCTCCATTCATTGATGGCTCACCTTGTGTAAAACGCTACTAAAAAGTTCACTTGCATTATCTCACTAAATCCTTAAACCAACCTTACAAAGTCGCCTTGATCTTTACTTTGAGTAAGGTAATCAAGCCCAGAGAGGTTAAAATTTTACCCAAGGTCACACAGCTTGGAAGGATTAAGATGTGGGCCTCTCAGATTCCAAAACTACTGATCTCTGAGGTGTTCTTAAAGATACAGTTGTGCAGCTTTAGGGTCTTAAGGAAGAAGCATTTTGTCATCATCTCCATTGGAATAAAAAAGAAAATGTTACAGATAGATAAAAAGTTTTAAGTTTTCTTTTGATGTTATTCAAAAGGAGTGAATTATACCTTTATGTTGCCTTAGCCAACAGATGAACAACAAATATTTGTTCTTTTTAACACCAAAAATCTAAATAAATACATCCTCTCTTTAACCTTGTAAGATTTTTTTTCATTTATGCTCTGAAACATCAACTTCCCCTGCTCCTAATTGTCCCTGAGAGGCTGATTGAAATAATACCTGATATTTGCCACAGAATGCTGATTCCCAGGTACCCTACCTCTCCCTTTCCACTCATGTCCAACTTCAGTTGAGCCCACATTTGGCGGGCGAGTTTCCTGAAAGCTTCAGAACCCTCCTGCAGAATTGCTGCTCAGTCCTAACCTCCCCGTGGTTACCCAACAAAGGAAGAGAGACCCGCCACAGTGTCCTATAACATTCTCCGTGGCTTCTTTTAAGGAACAGCTGGGCCATAATGGAAGGTTACTCAGGGATACCCATAGGTTTGACAGGAGCCCATATTTTAAACAGGGCGGATACTAAATCCATCCAACTCCTGGAATGTTACTACTCTCTCAGGAACCCGAGAGAAGTTTCTGAGGCTGATCTATAAATCTCTCTGGTCTAAAATACCCAAAATTAGTTTCTGTGCCATGGGAACATAAAAATGATATGGCTTTCTTCTTTGACATGTCAGTTAATAAAGAGTGTGGAGGGGAGCCGGATGCTGCCTGACAGGTTTCTAAAGGGTTCACTCGTTAAAAATGGGAAGCACTTTAATTACCTGTTTGGTTTTTTGTTATGTGTGTGTGTTACATGTTTAAAAAAAAAATAGGTCCTATGGACATTCAGGAAATTATATCATTAATTATGCCTGTCAAGACTCTCTGTGGCCTGAAGTAAATGGAAACTTCTTAGGGTATCTTTTGTTTTTAGTTTTAAAATGTTTTTAAAATAATGTTTTCATATTTCCACAGACTCTACTACAACTACTTAATTAATGAAGAGAGTAGAGTGGGGGTATTTTTTGTTTGATTTGTTTTGGTTTTGGTTTTTTGGTCATGGATAATTCAGGGGGGAAAAAAAACTGTAAAAACCTGTGTATTTGATTTCAGAGTTTGTTAATTGATAGTTGGCTTAACAGACAATTCACTTTCCCAAAGTGTGTGGTATTTAACCTAATATTAGTGCTAATTTGCACAACAAATATACAGTAGTCTTGGAGCAAGAGATGACATAAGATCCTAAATGATACAGGGAGAGAGGTGGTAGGCTGGGATCACAGGTCAGGAAGACATGTTCCACTCAGTCCAGGAGAGAAGGCTGCCTTTCCTCTGTGGGACGCTGTTCCTCTTGATGCAAAGTCCCACGGGCTTCTGCAGTCAGGAAAGATCAATGAGAGAGTAAAGTTTGCGCAGCTCGGGACTAGCTGTCAAGGAGTCAGTAATCCCCCCATGACCAACGCTGAGAAGAACATCTGGCTTTGGGTCACAGATGGCCTAATTATCCCAGATCCTAGCTCCCATTCAGTCCCTTTAGTTAAAGGTTTGTTCCCTGTATCTTTGGAAGGTAAACTCTCTAAGAGGCTTAGGAGAAGACCAAAATCCCATACATCTAACCTAAACTTATATGTAGGGAGAGTCCAGGGAAGTAGATTCTTAGAAAAACTCCAAGAAAAGAGAAAATTATTGGAGCCCCAATAGGCTGGGGGAGAAGAAAACTTTAGCCAATGTACTCTGAAGCCTGCAAGATCTTTTTAGATGTTCTGCAAGACTCTCGCCTCTCAGTGGATAGCAAGCATGGTCATTGCCATTCTTACTGGAGTACTCGGCAGGACAAAGAATTCACAAATATCCTCATCTGTGAACCCAAGTGTGAAGAGAGGGTGCCGCCTTATACCATAATAGCATCTAAGACTAGATGAGACTTTCAAATGTATTGCAGGTGGGAAATAAATAACCGCAACCTTCCTGGAAACCTACTTGGCGTCATGTACCAAAATGTATAAAAATGTTCACACACTCTAAGTCAGCAACCTCCTCCCTAGGAATCTACCTTAAGGAAATAATCAGAAATGGGAACATAGATTCATGTTCAAGAATGTTTATCTCCACATTATCATAACAAAAAAATTGGAAACAAACTAAATATTGACAATATGAGATTGGTTGAATAGATTCTGAAACATCTGTACTGTGCAAGTTAAGTAGGCTGTTAACCACAGTAATGTTTTGAAAAATACTTAATCACATGGACAAAATGTCCATGTTAATGATGACTAATTGGATTATGGGGATTTTTATTTTCTTCTGTAGAGATGCCTGTGTTTTTCAGATTTTCTATAATTAACAAGACTTATTTATATTCAGGAGGGAAAACACACCATTGCTGAGTAACAAACATAAAGAATGTTGAGGCTAACCCTCAACTAAACCATGATTTGGGCTCCACATTCTGCTTAATGATGCATGGAGGATACGCATTGCAGGAGCATTGCACAGGATCTGACATTGATGCCGTTTTCTAGTCCTCCTTGAACAAAGTCAGACTCTTCCAGAAGGACCCAAAAAAGCATCCTGTACAGACTTTAGCCAGATGAACCAAAGTCTGAGCAGAGACTGGTGCCTGGATAGCCAAACTCAGGACTTTTTAAGCTCTGTAAAGGCTGCCTAGAAAAGATCACACCATTACTGATGGTAGCCTTGGACTTGAGAGGGCAGAACACTGTCATTAAAACAGAGCCAACTGTCCCATAGCACTTGTCGCCAGTGTAATTGTTGCCTTGCTTTCCCACGCCCTTATTCCAGGGAAAATATTGTTTGGTTGAGTTTGGGGTTTTTGTAAACTGCAGTTACCCTTTTAATGAAGATCTATATTCTCCATCTCTGTAGTAAACTCAATATGTATTCATCAGAAGGCAATGCTTTCTCTTGCCACCCTCTGAGTATCCATTAGGGTTATGTCAATCACGGCACAGGGGGGCATGTGGAAGAAGATAAAACTTCTCAAACATGAAAAAACATAAACTCCATCTTTATCCAAATCCCAGGCATGCTTTGCCAAACACTTTCCCCTGAAATTTTCAAGGCCACGTGTTTGAACGGGAAATTTAATCCACATGTTTCTGATTCATATGTACACTTAATGCATCAAAATATCATCTCTTTGAAGTCCAAATGGCCTTTTTATAGACTTCTTCCTTAGGAATGGAAAGTTGTGCTTGGCCAAGAACTAACAATTCGAACCCTCCAAAGTCCAAGTTCCTTTCAAAATTCCCAACTCAAGAGGTTGAACCAGGCTTTGAAATACACCCTCTGTCCCCCCAGCCACCCCAATGTGACTGTAAATTTTGAGATACTTCATTCCACCATGCCTTCTCAATCTTGATCATATACGTTCATGGAGACTTCCAATGAAAGTCAATTTAAAGCTATCTTCCAGTGAACTGCCACAATAATGCTGTGAGGGAGAACAGACAGAGGAAGAGCTAATGCTAGCCGCCCCCAGCCCCTCCAGGAACCTGAGAAGAGAAATCAAGAAATTGGCCAAGAGTGACAAAGTGGTTGGGGATACAGCCAACGATTTGGTCTCAAATACACATTGGGGGTGGGATTCCAGGCTTTCCCTTGGAATCCTAGTGGGAAAACATCACAGTTGGAAAATTTGGATTCAGAGCTTCCACAGTTCTCTATTCCCAAATGTTCCACTGCAAACACTGCTCCAAACCTCATGCTCAATGGGTGGGACTATACGGCCAAGGACTTTCTTCAAATCTCTTATCTGAAGATGATTTGAAACATAAATCAATGCTGTCAAAACTGGAAGCTGGGAAAAGCATTGGGAAACGTGGGAGACAATTATCCATTTCATGTAATATTTCTATCAAACTGAGCCTCCCCACCAGCTGGGTGCCAAGTCATTGACGGTTAGTGGGCCCAACAGGGTGGGGTTGTCCATGTTAAACAGAGAGGAAATCTTTGCCTCAGAATCCCTCTCTAATTAGATGGTCTCTAATCAATTCATTGTCATATCCACCATAGTGTTTGGTGGATAGTGGTCATTAAACTTTTACTGAATAAATTTTGTGTGCCTATTTAAAACAAAATATAATGGACTCTTGTTATTCTTTTGAACATCTCCTCTACCTCTCTCCCAAATTTGTACTATATACTTTTAAATTTTCCAAAATTTAACTGTAGAAAAAATATCAGCACCATCTCCTCCAATATCCCCGCTATTAAGCATTATTTTGTAAAAATAAATCAAATCTGTATCTTAAGCAATTTGCCTGCCCTCTATCATTAATCATTTCAAGTGAATGGATAAATGGTCATTTGCAAATGGACAAAAAACACAGAGAATGAGGCTGCAAATTCAGTTAATCTTGCCTTCTTAAGATAATAATGAAAGTGTTTATCAACTCAAAGATAATGTATTTTAAAAGATCCAGTCATGTCTAGATTAGAAAATAAGGAAAAACCGTGTCTTATCATTTCCAACCTTTTTAGGTTTTTGTATGAACTTCACCAATCAAAACATAATAGTCTACATTTGAGTTTATAAAATGAGTTCACAATGTTTTTTTAGACTATTGCTTATCAAAGTTTGGTTAACCCAAGAGTTGGGATAAAAGAAATAAGGTGTTCCTCACCCTTCTAGTTCCTGGATTGAATCCACATCTTGAGTTTTTTGTAAGCCAAGAGCTGGAATAAACTAGCTAGATCACCATTCTTTTTTCACGTGGTTTTATTGCCATAACTGCCATATGTTTTAGAGAACCAACGTAAGTGATACTTCTGTTATCCAGGTGGACTACTGCATAACAAGTTGGATACAGCACTTAAAGGTCAGCATCTTCTGTCTATGGCTTAAACCTCTGAGTACCAGCATCTCCCAAAAAGTCCTTCCTCTTAGTCTCTTATGGGACAGTAAGAGATCTTAGATATGATCTGATTCTATGGCTTTTTTTTTTTAAATTGTCATGGGTTTTTTGGGGTTTTTTTGTTTTTTGTTTTTTTTTAAGATTTATTTATTTATTTATACAAGCACTGGGTACAGTCAGAAGTGCGGGAGGGTGAGCGAATTCACCAGAGCCAGAGCAGGGAACCAAACAGGCAGACTGACGAAACACACTGCTGAGGAGAGCAGTGGGCGAGACAGGAGAGGTCTGCACACCATGTGGGACCCTCGCCGGTGGCTGGGGATTGAACCAGCACTGCAGAGTCTGCGGACAGCTTCGCAGCCCAGTGCTCAACTGCGGCGCCACCAGGGGAGGCCCTAATTCTATAGCTTTTAAACAATGTTTAGCACTCATTCTTTTCTAGCCATTATTAAAATCTTATCCAAAAAAATGGCCTCTCCAGTGGCGCAGCAGGTTGAACGCCGCGCTGTGAAGCTGTCTGCAACATTTGCAGTGCAGGTTCAATTCCTGGCTGGCCAGGGAGATACCCACATGGCGTGGCAGACCTCTTCTCTTGCATCCGCCGCTCCCCTCAGCAGTGTATTTTGGTTGTCTGCCTGTTCTGCTCCCTGCTCTGTCTCTGGTGAATTCTCTCACCCTCCCACACATCTGGCCTGTACCCCAGCTCTTGCATAAAAATAAATCTTTAAAAAAAATTCTTATCCAAATGTTCAGCATGTAAAGTTCATGCTCTTGAATGGGTTCCAGTTGAAAATCAAGTAGTGGAACACTGGGATCTCCCTGTATAATTGGTTATGAAAGGTCTCAAAGTCTGACCAGACCTCCTCTAAACACCAGGTGCTGTCAGTTTATTCCTCAAAGACCAAAAGGTAAAATGACTCACCTAGCATCTCTAAAACTGGAGATAGACCAAGGCTAAACCCCAGGTGTCCCAACTTTTTCTTGAGCGTGTGGCCCACTATATTACATTGAAATCTGCCAGCAGGGCAAGATTCATTCTCTAAATCAGCAGCCCCATGACTGCTACTGCCTAAACATTTCAATCACAAGTAAAATGGTCAATGTATGGGAACAATAACCTTCTTGGATCAAGATAAAATCATGAATAGCAGATAATGTAATCATTTGGATCAAGCATTGGCAAACGTTTTCCCATAAAAGGCCAGATAATAAGGTAAGTTTAGGTTTTGCCATATGGTCTCTGTTGTAAGAATTCAGCTTTTACTGTGGTCACAGATGACACGTAGAAGAATGAATTTAGCTGTATTCCCATAAAGCTTTCTTTATGGACTCTAAAATGTGAATGTCCAATAACTTCACATGTCAGAAAGTACTACTCTTCCTTTGATTTTTTTCACCCAAGTTTAAAAATGCAATCACCATTACTAACTCACAAGCTACGGAAGAAGAGGCAGATTGGCTCATGAGTCAAAGTTTGCCGACCTCAGTATAAAAGAAAACTTTGCTCTACAAAACATTTAAGCAGGATTGAATAGGACATGCATGTTCTTTAAGTGCTTAGCACATAGCTTTGAGAAGAGTTCAAACATGCAATTATTTCTTGAGAAATAGCAACTGGGTTGTCTTTAATTCAAGTCTTGAAGACCTAGCAGAACCCCACTGGGAAAGAAGTAATGCCTCCTTGCCTTTGATTGGGAAACTGTGGGACTGGTGCCCTATTAAGGGTGGAAGCTGGTGAACTAAAGGAAGCGTCTGAGGCTCTGCATGGAAGCAGATAGGTGAGAGTCTGGCCATGGTGGCAAGATCACATAAATCTGATGCAGGGACCACTTTCAGCAGATCAACTGAAGACAGTGTCTCATTTCGCTGTAGATTCAGAGGTATAATCAGAGGAGCCTGAGAGTCACTTATTTGATTTTTTTTTAAAGATTTATTTATCCATGTCTATAAGAGCTGGGGTACAGGCTAGAGATGCAGAGGGTGAGAGGACTCACCAAAGACTGAGAGGGGAACAGAACAGGCAGACTGGCTGAAATACACTGCTGAGGGGAGCAGCTGGAGAGACAGGAGAGGTCTACTGTGCCATGTGGGTTTCTCCCTGGCCTGCCGGGGATCAAACTCATGCTGCAAAGGCTGCGGACAGCTTCACAGTGCAGTGCTTAACCCCTTGTGCCACCAGGGAGGCCCACTTATTTGATTCTTAAATCAGAATCATTTATTCATTAGCTGGTAGCTGGCATGCTTATAACCATCATGGTATTACCTAGCATGAGCCAATAAGGAAATGTCAATATGTTGTATTCCATCTATTGGGAAATGGATGAGTTTTCCATGGAAAAAAAATTTGAAAATAACTAGTTGTGTCAATATAACTCATGGAATTTGGCCCTAAAATAACTTATTCAATGGGGCTTAATGGATACTCTTAGATGAGAATTTGGATAATTTGGATAATCTCATGATTTTTTTGATAATCTTAAGGAAAAAGAAAGATCTCCAATCTATTACTTTAAATGTCCAATTCCATGTAACGTCAGTCTTACAGTATAGTTAAGATTTCTCAGACTTCTCACCCCTAGCCCAAGCTAGGCCTATATACATAAGCAACATAAAGTCAGGAAATGGCTAAAGACAGTTTAGCCAGCTTCATGGTTCTCTAAGGTACACTGAGTAGCTACTGGAATATTTCTTGCCTCAAACAAACTACATACCTCAATGCTCACAGTATTCATGCAAGTTGTTCCTGCAGTCTGTAATAACTCCTCTTTCTTCCCCATGTCAACAAAAAGTCAAATGGGATGGGAAGTTAGGACAAGCTGAGCACAGAACATAACTTGCTGTGGAACAAAAAGAAGAGAAACTAGAGATGACCAACTTCACTCCTTAAGCTGAGATCAAGTTTTAAAGCCCCAACTCCCCTCCTATCCACTTCTCATTCCTAGGTAAACTAGGAAGACAAATAAAACTAAATCTCTAGTGCCCCAACCACATACACATGCACACACAGATACATACACAGCCACAGAGCAAACAGGCAACACACATGACTAGGGAACAAGGAAAGTTGAACACAAGATAGAAAAGCGATAATGAGAAGGACAGAGTCCTGGGACAGATATAAAGGATACAGAAATAGAGAAGCTCTCAGAGAAAGACTTCACAACAACAATATTAAAAATGTTAAATGAGCTACTGAAGGCCAGTCAAAGTCAGATAGAAAGGTGCAAGACCTTAGGAAGTAGACCCAGTAACAAAGAGAGTTCTTCACCAAAGAGACTGAATATTTAAAAAGATCAAAAGAAAGACTGAATGAAATGCAGACAAATTTAGAAAGTGCTTTAAATAGAACTAAACTGGCAGGAGAAAGAATTTCAGATATAGAAAACGCAAATGATCAAATAACCCATTTAGAAAAAGAGAGAATCAAGATAAATGAACAAATGAGGAAACTCTATGAGAAATATCAGATTCAATCAGAAAAGGAAACCTAAGTGTAGTCAGGACCCTAGAAAGTGAAGAGAGAAAACTAGGAGCAGAAATCCTATTCAAAATAATAATAACTAAGAATTTCCAGAACCTAAAGAATGAATTAAATATGGATGTCCAAGAAGCTCAAAGAACACCCAAATTTTTTAAGTTCAGAAACGCTACCTGGGCACATCAAAGTCAAACTACCAAAAATTAAAGAAAAAAATTTTCAGGAACCAAGGCAAATAAAATAACTTACAAAGGCTTCCAAATTAAAATTTCCCAGACTTCAACAAGAAAGAGAGTGGAAGAAAGTGTTCAAAATCCTAAAAGACGAGAATTACCAGCCAAGAATTCTCTATCCTACAAAATTACCACTCAAGTATGAAGGTGAAATAAAGGCTTTCCCTGATGAACAGAAGCTAACAGAGTTTACCACTACCAGACATGTCTTTCAAAGAGTTGTTCTACAAAAAAAAAAAGGTGAAACACAATGCCTGAGCAAAATGACAATAGCAACACAAACACGGAAGCATAAGCAAGAATATTATGAGTCAACAACAAAACACTAAAGGGAGAAAAAAATAGAACCTGTATAGTTAAATGTCAGTGAGCAGACACCAGCTCATAAAGGACTTAAGACATAGGAATTTAAGTAAAATCCCCATGGTTACTGCTAACCAAAAAGCCAGAATAGACACCCATAGATGAAGAAACAAAGAAATTGATAGAAAGACTAAGGAAAGCCATCCAGGAAGAGCAGAGAGAAACAAATAGAAAAGGAAACAACAGAAAAATGAAACAATCAAAAATCAAAACCAAAATGACTGATAATAACCAGATCATATAAATAATCATCCTAAATGCAAATGGTCTGAATTCACCAATTAAAATACATAGACTGATAATTTGGGGGGAAAGTTTCTGCCATCAATACTTTGTGTACAAGAGACCCATCTAAAACTGAAAGACAAAAATAATAGGTTGAAGTAAGGTCACACATGCTAACAACTCACAGAGAAAAGGCAGAACTGCTCTTCTTGAATCAGACAAGCTAGACTTTCAAGAAAAAAGGTAGTCAGGGACAAAGATATGTGTGTGGGGGGGGCGGGGTGGATATCAAGGAAACATCTGAGCAAGAATATATAGCTGTAATTAATTTTTATGCACTTAATATAGGACACCTAGTTACATAGCAACTATTAACAGATCTAAAAGAATATATCAACAAAAACACAATCACTGTCAGAGACTTTACACCACTGACATAAAGAGATAGATTATCCACAAAAATTAACAAAGAAATAAAAGTTTAAATGTAGTGGTAGAACAGATGGATTTATTGGACATTTATAGAGCTTTCCATCCCAAAAGAAAAGAAAACACTTTCTTTTCCAGTACATATGGAACATTCTCAAAAACAGATCATATACTAGGACATAAAACATGTTTCAGAAAATATACAAAATATGAATTATATCAAGCATCTTCACAGACTACAATGCCATAAAGCTAGAAATTAACCACAAAAAGGATTCTGGAATAAACCAAAACATGTGGAGACTAAACAAAACACTTCTGAACAACTCCTAGGTTAATGAAAAAATCAAAGAAGAAATTTAAAAGTATCCAGAGGCTAATGAAAATAAAGAGACAAGCCATCAGTCCCTGTGGGATGCTCTAAAAGCAGCACTATGTGGGAAGTTTATAGCAATGCAAGCTCACATTTAAAAAAAAAAAAAAAAGAGCAAGGAAAATCTCAAATAAACAATCTAACTCTATAGCTGAAGAAACTAGAAAAAAGAAGAACACAAGCAACTAAAAAATAGTATCAGGAAATAGGGCCTCCCCAGTGGCGCAGCTGTTGAGCGCTGGGTTGTGAAGCTGCCCACAGCCTCTGCAGCGCCAGTTCGATCCCCGGCTGCTCCCTGGCCACCAGAGGAGGGTCCCACATGGCGCGCAGGCCTCTCCTGCCGCCCGCTGCTCCCCTTAGCAGTGTACTTCCGTCCTTCTGCCTGCTCTGCTCCCCGCTCTGGCTCTGGTGAATTCTCTCACCCTCCCACGCTTCTGACTGTACCCAGTGCTTGTATAAATAAATAAATAAATAAATAAATAAATAAATCTTTTAAAAAAAAATAGTATCAGGAAATAATTAAAAATTTGAGCAGAAAAAAAAAATGAAACAGAAAAACAAAAAGTCCAAAAGATCAGTGAAACCAAGAAGTGGTTCTCTGAAAAACTAAACAAATTCACAAGCCATTAGCTAGGCTTGCAAAGAGAAGAAGAGAGAAAATTCCAATCAATAGAATCAGAAACGAAAAAAGGAGAAATTACAACAAATACTGCAGAAATACATAGGATCATAAGAAGCTAATACTTTGTCTCTATGCAAACAAACTGGACAACTTAGAAGAAATGGACAAATTTTTGGACTCATACAACCACCCAAGTTTGAATCAGGATGAAACAGACAGCTTACATAGTCCAATTACAAGTGCTGAAATTAAAAATTATAAATCTTCCTAGAAACAAAAGCCCAGGGTCAGAGGACTTCTCCAGTGAAATTCCACCAAACCTTCAAATAAAAGCTAATACCTATATTATGCAAACTCTTCAAAAATATTGCAGAGGGAGGAAAACCCCCCTTATACATTCTATGAGGCCAATATTATCCTAGTCCCAAAACCAAACAAAGTCAGTATAAAAAAAGGAAAGAAAAATTATAAACCAATGTCAATGAATGAACATAGATGTAAAAAATCTTCACAAAATCCTAGCAAACCAGGGCCTCCCCGGTGGTGCAGCGGTTGAGCACTGGGTTGCGAAGCTGCCCGCAGCCTCTCCAGCGCCGGTTCGATCCCCGGATGCTCCCCGGCCACTGGAGGAGGGTCCCACATGGCACGCAGACCTCTCCTGCTGCCCGCTGCTCCCCTCAGCAGTGTACTTCGGTCCCCCTGCCTGCTCTGCTCTCTCACCCTCCCGCACTTCTGACTATACCCAGTGCTTGTATAAATAAATAAAAATCTTTAAAAAAAAAATCCTAGCAAACCAAATACAGCAACATATCAAGAGAATCATCCACCACAATGATATGATCCAGCAATACCTCTATTAGGTAGTCATTCAAATAATATGAAAATCTAATATGAAAAGATTTATCTACACCTATTTACATAGCATCACTACCCACAATTGCCAAGTCACAGAACTTACTTAAGTACCCTTCAAGAGACAAATGGATAAAGAAATTGTGGAATATATCTACTCAGTGGAATATTACACAACTGTGAAAAAAGATCAACTAGTGGCAAAAGATCAACTAGTGGCAAAAAATCAACTAGTGGCAAAATTTGGGACAAAATGAGTGGATCTTGAGGTGACTGTGCTAAGTGAAATAAGTCAAAAAGTTAAAGGTAGCTATCAGATGGTTTCACTCCTCTGTGAAATATAAATAACAAAAAAAAAAACATACACAGGCAAAGTATAGTAGGAATTAATCTTGAACTCACTGAAAAAGCATAATGGTTACCAGAGAAAATGGGAAGAAATGAGAGGTGGGCCCTGTTTATTGCAGCACTATTTACAATAGGTAAGCTATGGAAACAACCCAAGTGCCCAAAAATAGATGACTGGATCAAGAAGATGTGATGTATATACACAATGGCATATTACTCAGCAATCAAAAAAGATAAACACATGCCATTTGCAGCAACATGGATGGAGCTGGAAAGGATCATGCTCAGTGAAATAAGGCAGGAAAAAAAGAAGAAAAAATCAGATGGTTTCACTTATAGGAGAAATGTAGAGGGTTCAAATAAGGGATCAGGAAAAAATTAATTATAATAAAGTAAAAATCAAAATCAACAGGCAACTATAACCAGAGACAATCTGCAGGGGGGGAGAAGGAAGTAGGATCAAAACAGGGGTGGGAAGAGCACAAGGGACTATGATGATGGTTCACAGGTGAATGGGTGCTGGAATTTCACAGAGACTATAACTGAGATGAAAATGCATACATTGTATAAAAATGAAAAATGATGAAAAAATATATAAAATAAAATAAAAAATATAAAATATATAAAATAAAATTTAAAAATTTTTAAAAATAGAAATGAGGGATGGAAAATTGACACAGGTGGTCTGATGGTGAATTTATGGAAAAGCAAAAATGACCCCCCCAAAAATCAGAATTTAAAAATAAATGTGATAGCAAGAACAAAATAGATATCTGGAGGTCACAGGACTTCTTAGGGAACTGGGAGGTGTAGATGTTGCAGCTCAAAAACCAGGAGCCTGTTAACATTCCAATCTTCATCGGAGGATTTCTAACATCCGAGGAAGTCCTCTCTCCCAGGCCTTCTGGGAGCAGCCCAGCACCACGCTCAGGGCTTGGAGGCCATCAGTCCGGGACTGAACGCTGTCAAGAAAAGCATCCCAAAGGCCATGGGATCCTTTTGAGAGGTGGAGACAATTCAGAAGCTACAGATTCTCAAGGTCAGGAGACCTTACCCAGAACCTGACCTTCAGGGCGCATTTGTCAGCACCTCCTGCTGTCACATTTATCTGCCTTAGTCCCAAAATCAGCTCCAGATTCCCCGCCGCTTATGATTGTTGTCCGCCACTTTACTACGTTTGGAATCTGGGTCTCTTAGTCCGTTTGGGGAGATCCTTCCACCCGGCCCTGCCCTCTGGCGATGACCAAACACCAGGACAGGAGGCGGCTCTGGGAGGGTGGTCCCCAGGACCTTTGTAGGCAGGCCCCGGCTTCCCTGTGGCAGAGGAAGCTTGAAACCAGGAGAAGGAGCCTGGCCGTGGGTGTGCGCGCTCCACACCCGGCTGATGCCTGCGCGCCTCTGTGCGGACCCAGCTTTGAGCCTCTCGCTTTGCAGCGCGGCCAGGTGGGGCTGCACTCAGCCTTCTCCAGTGAGTCCTGAGCGAGTAATAATACCTGTATCTGCGCCGTGAGAAGAGTGATCAGAAAGTACTGCTTTCTAGAACCTTCCCCCTCCATCTCGTCCCCCTCCCCCCTCAAATGGTGACCGTTGCCTGGTGTCCGTTTGTGTTGGAGACCGAGGACTCCACAGGAATCTGGGCGGTGAAGGATGGCTCCCCAGGTCACTGGCTCCTGAGGTAGAGTTGTAGGAACGGATGAAGCCAGGGAGGGCTGCTGTCTGCTCCCTTCCCTCCCATGTCTTCCCCGTGGATCCTGAAGTGGTAACAGGCGCCCTGAGGCGGCGCTCAAAGCCTTGAGACAAGTCTTGGGTTCCCCTGGAAGCTCCTTTCCACCTCCACCTTAGTGGCTTTTGTAGTGACAAGGAGACTGATGGGAAGAAGAGGCATAAAGTTGAGCAAAAGATGTCGCTCCAGAGCTGAAACCTGTGAAAAAGTCGAGGAGGAGACTGGGCTGAGGACACAAGCCTTCAAACTCGGAGTCTCTGGCAGTGGAGGCCAGGCCTACCATGTTACAAGCCCTGTGCTTGGTGGCATTTAATAAAAATCCAAACAAGTTGTCACTGGTGGACATGAAAGACTTCCTTGACAAAGGTCAAAAGAGTGAGTCCCCCCAGCTTTCATTTGCCCTGGGGGGACTGAAGGCTTGCTTGCCTCCAGGGAGAGATGCAGTCCCTTGGAGATGCATTAGAAGCCCCCCAATCCCAAGTGACCAATGGGAAAACATGTTCCAAACATCTCAGACCCAAGTAGGCCACCTTCAGAAGAAATGAATGGATGGTCTGGATGAGAACAATCATCTTGGGCAAGGTTTAGGATGGCTGTCCCAAGAGAGGGAGGGGTGGAGGCAGACAGTGCGGGGATTGCAGGAACAATGAGATTTGTCCAAGTGCTTGCACACAGGGATGGAGCAGATGCTGAATGACAAAGTGAGCCAATTACATTCTCTGACCAAGGTCACCCTGAAAACCATCAATCTGCCTGGTCTCTTTAAAGAGCAGCACACAGAGGTTGACTCCTCGAAAGGAGAGGAAAAGAGAGAATCAGGAGTTACACATCTCCCAGACTGTCTTTCTGTGAGGATCTGAAACTTCTCATTTGTGAATTTAAAGTGTCCTTGAAGAGGCAATCAGGAGAGAAAGGAGGGCTCTCTAGGAAACTGGGTGAAGAAAATCAAATGACAGTGAACAAATAAAAAGCCTCCAAATGGAGCATACATCTTTGGAATCTGAAAATTTCCAGCTCAGAAGTGAGATTCAGAAGCTTCGCCTGAAACTCTAGCCTGAGGCACAGATGAAAACCTCAAAAGAGAAAGAACCCCACTGCACAGTCATGGACAAGAAAGATCTCAATGTGGCTGGAAGCCAGGAGCTCACCCTCTACAAGGAGATGCCAGTGACATGGAGGAAGAGCTGGAGAGGACCACCTCCAAGACACACTGTCTCCTCTGAAAACCAAGCTTAGGAAAGATGGACGGCTTCCCTGTGCAAGGAGAGAATGCTCCACCAGTCAAGCAAGGACAATGACCACTTCAGACAAACACAGGCCAACATCCAGTTCACTTTCCAGACTTTCTGAAGGGCAGCTTTTGCTACTGCTGCTCCACACACAGTCTACAGAGGTCCAGAAATACCAGAAGGTTCCCAGGTCATCATGTCCCTGAGAAGAAGGAAGATCCCTTTGAAAGAGTCACTTGAAGATTCAAACTTCACAGCAGCCAGACCTGAACTCCGACCCACAATCTGGAAAAATACACCACACCAGATTCTTTTGATTTCTCTTCCCAGCCTGACTCATCATTTACTTGATGCCACAATGTCTCAGATTTAAGTTTATAGCATTACAATGCCAAGGTAGATATTTTTTCTAATATAGATTCATTTAATGTCACTCCTATCATTACCTTATGTTCAAATCTTTGGCTCCCATACAAATAGTGTAACTATTGTTTTTTGATTTCAATAAAAAGTTTCACTTTTACTTAAATATATTCAATAATTGGCCAGGGGAGTAGTAGTAGTGATAATATTTGATCTAACCTCAAAAAATTATATGATTTGTATAACATTGAGGCTTATAAATACATTGAGCCTTACAAATCCTGCCATGCAAAATTTTAATCCTTAGAACAGGGTAGGAAAAAGTTAGAACTTTCAAGTCTGCATTTGGTAATAAAGAATATCTACTTAGACCTATGTACACTCTGGCTGGCATGTCAGGGATGATCTATCTGCCAGTAATCAATTTGAGTTGGGAAATAAAAATAATTATAGACAACATTGCATGAGAACTAGGGGCTGAGTCCTTTCCAACGCAGGTTGCTATTGTAGAATTTCAAGATGACATTTTACTTCACCTTAAGGAAATAATTGTATTTAATAAGGTGGTAATTACTGGAGGGCCAAGTTTCTGGAAATCAAGCTTCTATCATCTGATGCATAACAATACAAGCAAGATCTGTTTGTGGCTACGAAAGTCATAGCCCCCAAAACTTAATTTTCCAAAAATGTGAAATAACTTCAACAAAGGAATCTAGTTAAATTGTAGTCAGACATTACATTTATTCTTAGAATAAGTGTATATATTTATGACTTCTGTTTTGCCTTCTTCTAGTTATAGATCGGGCTTGATTTGTTTCATTACACAAATTGTAGGAAAACACTCTGGATGACCCTGACCTCGCTATAGAGTTAACCAAAAAAGAACTTGGTAGATTTAATTTATGAACACAACCAAACACAGCCAAAACATTTACTCTTTTTTAAATGACCATTTCATTGACAGAAGAAGCAACTTAGCCAAATAAAAGGTAAATCTGCCATCGACTTTGGATCCAGATACCACTGACTCTGTCTTTGCTTCCAAGCTAACTTGAGAGAGACATTTCCCCTCAGCCCCCACTGCTAGAAGACTAAAGAGAACTATTCCAAGTTTCTAAACGAGTCTAGAAACACAGCCCCACAAAGGCCCCTCTGCCAAATGAGGCTTTTCCATCCTCGCAACCTCAAGTGAGAGGGACAAAGCATGGGCTCATGGGTCTATCTGAGCAGGTCTGGTGGATGCAAAGAGCTGATTTATGGGAGAATGGAGTGGGAGACACTTTTAAATGTACCTTTTATCCCTCCATCTTTGAGTTGAACTTAACTATCAATACATTTAAGGTAGAGAAGGGTATTGCCCCACCCCCATATTTTTGTATTTGTTCAGAACAAGCAACCACATGTCAGCATAGCAGGCACAACAGTAATTTGAGAAGTAAATATTTCTGTCCACTCACCTGCTGGGCATCACAGAGGCCAAAATTCAATCTCTTGACCAAGTTAAATTCATTTGGGTATTTGTTGTTTTAAGAAATTCAGATGCTCTGATCTGTGAATGCTCCAAATTGTTTGGCGTAGCAGAAAAAATGTGAGTAGGAAAATCATCCTTTGGCCCTGAGTGAAAGATGATTTACATAGATAATCTCCAAAAGACAGACATAGGGAAGGGACAGCCACACACAATGGATGGAATTTGAAGGTCTGGATTAGATGCCTGGCTTTGCTATTAATGGGTCTTGACTCTGAACATGTGTTTTCATCTCCTTTATCCTTATGTGTAAACTAAGAGACATAGGTCTCTAGATGAAATCTAAGACTGCTTCTAGCTGTATACCTCTGATTTTGGAAAGGGATATAAAACAGCCATGTCACACAAGTAGTATAATTACAAATGCCATAAGAAACAGTCTCATTTGTAAATAGAATTGTTGTATATGAACAGTTAATAGCATCCCAAATGCACAATTTTCACTGCAAAACAATGGTTAATTAAGTTGGCCATGAGTCTTTGAAATTCAATTAATTTTCAACTAAATTTGTTTATGCTCTTACTATTTCTAGTTTTACTTCATTGCTTTCTAACTCATTTAAAAAAAAAAACTCAAATAAGTAATGCTATTTTGTCAATGTGATGAAATCACATCTCAATCTCCATCAGGCAGGACCCCTCAGTAATTTTTTAAACAAAGTTTCCGCACATAAGAAATATGTTAAAACCTGTCATGTTTGTGGATTCATGTATCACTCTCTGAATACAGTGATAGATACTACCTGGATGCAAAGACATATCTTAGTCATTACTTTGTTTAGGCTCCTATGTTGAAAATGATAATAAAAATTACATGGCTCTAATTTCAAACATGCAGGCATTAAAAAAAACTTGCTAAATTTTGAACCACTTCTTTTTCTTTCAAACACATCAAAACAAGTTCAGAAACTTCAAATCACTTATTGTTCTTATCACAATGTTGCAGGTTAAAGGAAAACATGCTGTGATTAGTGTGGGATGTTTTTCAGGGAAAGTTCTCAATACCTAAGAGAAGAGACTAGAGGTGGGATTGAGAAGAGTGAGCAGTAATGCAGTTTCAACAAACACCTCTATCAATCCCAAGGAAACTCTGAAATTGGTATTACCCTTCAGAGTTGGCTCAAGTTGAAGAAAATCAGCTAGAAGATTAAATCCTTTGGTTCTGAAGTGGGTTTTGTGACTCATCACAGCATACACTACAGTCCCTTATGGAGGCAATTCTAAATTGCTAATGTTCCAGTCATTTTGTTACAGCCAATATTTGTTGACTATATACCATCTGCTAAGTACTGTAGCAACCACCAAATCTTACATATGTCCTTGCTTAGAGTTTAGGAAAATAGACATTAAGATTTTTAAAAAAAATCACACAAAAATTTTAGGTAACACCAGAGAAATTAGGCTAGTCAAAGAGATCATTCTTAAATTTGACATATAGAGGGATAACTTAATTCTGTGAAACTTGAAACAGGAGAACTTGAGTTATGTCTTTTAGGTTTCTAGGATTTTGATGGGCAGAAAGGAGAGAAAGTCATTCTGGGTATAAGAGTGGCAACAAAAGACCAGAGGGGAAAATGCATGGCATCTGGAAGTCATCTTTGTAGTAAGGACACTAACCATTTGAAGAGTAGATCAAGAC